CGAATAATAATTTGTTAAAAAAAAGAAGAAGAAGAAGAAACAAAAATATATTTATAGAAAATGTAAAATATAGATGAACAAGGCAACTGTTTTTTTTAATTATAGCACAAGTTGGGATTAAAAATTATTCTTTACGAATTAACATCGGGTACGTGACTCTGGCAGGTTTGAAGGTTTGCGAAGAGGAAGAAGAGCGTCGTGGTGCCGTCGGTTTTGATTATTAAAAAGATAACAAGCCCCGCGGTTCCTCTCTTTACCTTTTCCTGCGCTTCCGCCTGCCCGACGGAAACGTCTTAAGCACAAAAGTGGCTCGATGCTCTTAATTCCGGTTAATTTAAGGTCGACGCGTTGATGATGAATCCCGCCCAAGGGCGATACGAACGGTTTTGACATGGGCTACGCCTCCGATCTTCCTCCTCCGTGATAGGATTTGAAACTTTCTTTCTTTTTTTATTCACCGTGCCACGATGAATCTGACAAACTTCTCCCGATTTTATATTCTTCCCGTAGCGTAAAAATTCGACGTGAAAAGTATGGGGTGATATTTACTTTCAACAAGTTGAACATTAAACATTTTTTTTTTTTTCTTTGATTCGATCGAACATCTCGGAATTTTTAAAGAATACGAATTTCGAAATGTTGCAAAGAATTGAGGAAGAATATATCGAGAATCTTTATTTAACGATTAACTTTCTTCTTTTTCGTAGAAATATATCCTTTAAAAATATATATATATTCACCACGAAAAAGGAACGGTGAATTAAGATTGACGGGATATATATGAAAACGAGAAGGGAAGGGGGATAGGTAACTTCTTAAGTATTTAATTTTTCTTTTATTTTTTTTTTAATATATATAAAAAGACTGAGAGATGGACGTTTTCTTCTCGTTAAAGAAATCAAGAGGAACAAAGACGGAGGAGGGTATACGGAGAAGGGTGAGCTCGCTCACCATCACTAATTACTTTAGTCATCCCCCTTTAACCCTCGACGTCCCTCTTAGACCCACCCTCGTCATAAACTGTAGTGAAGACTCGAACCTGAGCGAAACGACGGCACCTTGCCTTCTCTTCTCTCCTGTCCCGAACCCTTCTTCACCCCCTCGCCTTTTCTCAAAGTACGGGCCACCCCTTGGAAAAGCTTTATTATTATCATCCACCCGTACACCGCAAGTCTTTAATTAAATCTCACGAAAGATTCATAAAACCGGTATGATTACAAATACGATAAAAGACGAAACTTAATAGGAAAAGATTCCTCCATTGAATGGGATTTTTTATATGATTTTTCTTTTTTTTTTAAAAAGAACCATTTTCTTATTTTCTCGTTATATATTTATTTAAGCAGAAATTTGATAGAAACTTTGATCTTTAAAATTTTCTTTTATTTATTTTTCATCATTTTACTATTGTATCTAATTTAACTAATGCCGTTACATGATTTATTAATAATAATTGTTACTTCCTTTATATTATTTGATAAAGTTAATGGAATTTTGGATTTAATTAATAAATTAGATCGAAAAATCATCTCGAAAGTTATTGGAGAAGATAGGTAAAATTCGGCATCTGGTGCTCGCAGCTGAACATTATTAAGAGAAACAGAAAAGAGGAACTCCGGAGGGAAGAGAAAGCCATCATCGGACAATAATCGCTTTTATGGGTGTTCGTGTGGTGAACCGTGATATTAGATAGCAGCCAAGTGCGCAGGCCATGCTCCTCAAATCGCACAACACTCAACATACCCTCCAACAACTTCGAAATTGTTCTTTCCTTTCCTTTTTGTCCCGTTTCCTACGTGACGATACAAACATTAACATCGTTTCAAAAAATAAAATTGTTACTCTCAATATCGCGAGAGAAAGAGAAAGAGAGGAAGAAAGATCTCTCTCTAATTCTCGACAACTTTTAACCTATAATTCCCTTTTTAATTTAATCGAAGAAATCAAGGATTGAAAATAAAAATGATTGAAAAAGAATCAATTACGACACGTATCTTTTGAAATTGTATCACAATTTCACGCTAAGAAAAAACCGTGACATTTTTAAGATTAGAGATTAATTAAAAATAATATAAATTGAAATAAAACAATATTGAGCAATCTTTCTTCATCGTACAATATTATTATCAAATATTCTGCTGATCAATGAACTTCCAACCCCCTATAACCATTTTATTATGACAGCTCGTGAAATCTCGTTCGAAAATGCGGCAGCCTTTAATCGTAAAAGAAGAAGAAGAAGAAAAGTTCCTTATATATATCTCCACGTTGATATTATCAATTGTTCCACCACCGATTGGACCGGAGGGTGAAGAAGAGGAAGAAGAAGAAGATGAAGGAAGGGAGACAAACTCTTTGCATTATTCGGATTCGCAAGAACCGCCAATTTACTTCAACTCCAAAGTACCGGTTGGTTCTTACACATATATGTATAAGTATTTCTCCGTATGTATATATATATATATACAGATATCCATGCACATGTATGCGTGGTCCTCAGATTTTCTCGTAAAACCACAGCCAGAGTGGGCTTCAACCAATGGCGGTGAAGGCATGGCGCTCGAGGTGTGAATTATACATGAGAATATATCCTTCCGTGCCCTTTCCTCTCCTTCTGTATATCCTCTTTCTCCTCTATTCCTAACCTCATCTCCCTCTACTCGACCCTTCCCTAACCAATGGTTATCTCTTACCCTTATTTGCGCCTCATCTACATACGATCCTATGCTCGTACTTATGCAAAATGTATCGTTCCAGTTACGAACACGATGAGAAGAGATCTCTTTCGAATAAGAAGAAAAAAATAAAAAAAAACCGACCATTGTTTGATGCAAACCTTCGATGGATCTTTTCTTTCATTCAACCGATCGAAACAAGTTTAAATAAAGAAGTTTAATTAAAAGCGATTCAGAGAAATCTCTTCTCCTAATTCGTTTTCTCCTCTTAAATGCTCTCATTATGTCGCGTTATGATTAAATAGATACGTTCAGTAAGAAACGTTCTCGAAATCCAGAATCCAACGAATCATTTTATCCGTTTAAATTGATATATGTATACTGTTGGACGAAAGCCAAATTTTCGCAGGGAATTTTAATCTTGACTTTACAACTATTGGCAAAACGATTATACATGTAATAATATACGCGCAATCAAAAATAAATGAAACTTTCGAATATTGAGATTATCGTATAATGGTTCTTATCACAGTGTCTACTTTCGACAATTTTACTTTTATTTTTACATTAGTGAACATCGTTCAAACGACGAAACAACAAATAATTTCAGGGGGGAGAGGGGAACGGCTATGGCGGAATTGGAACGTTGGTTACCAGGAAACGAAACTAACACGCATCCCAGTGTATCAGAGCGGAAACTACGCTCATGAAATCAAATGAAACTAACTTACAGTGCCGTTTTCTGGGCATCGTTTAGTTTCATTAACGTCGCCGCAGCAGAACCGGCCTGCTAGAGACGGCGACGACGAGAGTCGATGTGTGCGCCACACGAGTGCACCCCCGTGTGGGGGTGTACGTGTGCAGCTAATGAACTGGCATCGCCCGATTAACCCCAAACCGGGGCTATTATACGCTTCTAACACCATGTGCACCTACGCCACCGCTCTTTCTCTCCTCTATATACATACGGATGATGATATCTCGCGTGATCACCTCCATGATCGTCACTTTGCGATTTCTAATATGTGTCCAGAAAATGATTCTTTATTCTTCATATATACTTTATTGTTTTCGATTGCGAGCATTTGATACTTTGGTCGATACTTTGCTCGTTTGAGAATTAAAAATTTTGCATTTGAATCTCGTTGATTATTTTTACAACTGTGGTCGATTCGAAGATTTTAAACTTTGCAATTTCGAGAATGTTATTTCAAAAGTTAGTGGATTTTTAAAAGAAAACGGTGATAAACGGTTTGTTGGAATTTGTTTCTTATTTAAAAAATCATGTTGCACGGAACTAATTTCCTTTATTTTGTGTAAAATATCTGATCTCTTTGATCGGTTAAATAAAATTTCTTTCGGATTGAGTCGCTATTTTCGTTTATTTGATATCCTGTCCCGTTTCTAAAGGTATCAGAATTTATGGAAGCCTATTTAGAGAAGTTTTCAGAATTGATGTATATTCAGCGTATGAGAGTTTGTTCGGCGAAATCTGAGCATTAGTCTCTATCAATTCGGTGAATGGAGTTGTTGAAGGGAGAGAGAGCAATTCCGTCGGTGAATTAAATTCTCCGTTGGAAACAGAGGGTTTCGTACTTCGTTAAAGAGACGATTAGTGCTCTAATAAGGTCATTAAGCGCCATATATTCCGGACTAACCTTCCTTCCTAGTGCGGATTAATTTCTTAATCATGCGTTTCCCTATTAATCTCGAGAATCGCATCGTTCGTCACACTATAAACACTTAAATAACCATTGTCGAATCTTCTGATAATAAAGCGTGATAAATTGAATAACTTTCGTCCATTCCAAAATATCGAAATTTAAATCAATTATAATTATATCAATCGATCGATCAATTATCTTAAAAAATTTGTCCAATTCGAAAATATAATTTTGAACGAGAGTTTCTATTTCCATTAATTATATGTATAATAATTTATACGAACAAATTAGCCTTCTAATAACGTGTAATTGTTCATCGTGGAAAATCGATCGATAAATAAGTGTTCGCTTCGATAGTTGGATCAGTAAATTAGTACGCTATTAAGATCATTAAACGCGGTATTAAGCATCACGTTGCCCATTCATGCGGCTGCGAAGGCAACCGCTTGATCATGACAAGCCTGTGCACATTATAATACACGCAAGTTTACCTGAATATATGATAATGGCATATTTGATGCCATTATCTCGTAATCGTTATTATCTATTAAAATAATCTGCTTTTTTCTCTCCTTTTCTTTTTTTTTTTCTCTCTCTCTCTCTTTAATAACTCGATCGTTCGATTATTAAAATCGCTAAAATTAAAATTATTTTTCCTTACCTGGGAATCCTTAAGACCGAGTTTCTCAGCCAGCTTCTTACGATCCGGCTTGCTGATGTATTTTTGTATTTGAAACCTCTTCTCAAGGCCGCGCCTCTGAAGATCCGAGAAAACCGCCCTTCTCATCATTCCTCGACGTGGTTTTCCACGGGCGTTCGTCGCCCATGGAAATACCAGGCCAGTGCTGGCAAAATCGCCCAGACCACCTTGGATCGCACCTGGGAACGCTGTCCCGCCACCTGGGGCACCCGGATGATGACCTCCAGTTCCGGAACCGGCAACTACCGATTATACACAATTCACAATTCGAGTGATGACATAGCAGTGTTAAATTTCGTTGGAAAATATACGATATAACTCGTATCCTGTATACATATTGTGATATTATATTGTGATACGTTATATATTTTTTGTAGTAAAAAGTATTCGATCGATAATAATAAAATAATAATTTTTTGGAAGAATTGAGAAGTGTATGGAAAAATTAATTTATCGTTAAAACAATTGTATATTACACAAAAAGAAAAAGAAATGCTCTCTTCTTCTTTCTCGTTTCTCTGGTTAATCAAGGAGTTGGGAAAAAGAATAGGATTCGATAGGAAAAATTGATTGGTCGAAACATCAAAGATTTTTGGGCCCCCGATAATAATTGAATCAAAGTCATCTAATAACGAACGGGCAATTGAATCTCCAGATCGTATCTGTACAATATTGCCAAGCTGAGCATGACAGTATTATCTGCGCCGATGATATTTGCACGCACTTGTTGCATGCGTGCATTTTGCTTGTGGCGGTGCATGTACATAATATGGTAGTGCTTTCACTGCACTTCATATGCACTCCATGTCCCATACGAGCCTACCTATAACAAGATATTCGATAAACCCGTGCCCGTGCACGTGCCCGCGTTTATACGCTTTGGCGCCATGTGCGGAAGTTTCGGTTTTAAATGTTCATCGAGATTGTGTTTCCGCTTCGCGTCCAGCTTGTTTATTAACTTTTCCTCCAGAATCAACGAGGATATATATATATATATATAATAAACTTTTTATTTTTATTATTTTTGCGAACAAATTTACAACAAACGTTCTCCCTCGTTTATTTCATCTTTTGTTTTTCTTTTTTTTTTTTCCTCAGTGAACATTCGCAACGAATTAATTATGGATGTAATTACGGAGAATAATAATAATTATTCGCACTTTTTTCTTTGGATTTAGGACATTTAATGTTAATTTGATCGAAAATTGGAGGAAATTATTTAAATAAAAACGGAAATGAAAGAAGGAGAAGACGACGAGAGGGATCTTTTTATAAGAGCAAATTGAGGGAAATATTTACCTGTCAGGTATGGTCCTCTGTAGAATAATTGTTGCAACGTGTGATGAGCATTGGGCGGTAGATGACGTTGGGGGGGTTGATGACTCGGCCTGTGATAAGGATGATAAGCCGCGGGTCTGGCGATTGGCTTCGCGATATTGTAACTCGCAGAATTTTGCAAATTCTGCAGGAACGCTGGTATCGCTTCCGGTGGGAGTCCTTGAAAATTCTCTGCACAGATAAACGAAAACTTGTGTTTTTACAAATAAAATTGTCAATTTGTTGTAAAATGTGCGAGTAATAAAAATTAGACGTAGGAAATCGGTTTTTAATGTTGTTTAATTGGAAGCGTTATACGAGGAAGCAAAAGCGTATTTTTCACGGCCCAATACCCAGTGAAACGCCCAAGGTTCAGGATCTTCGCACGACGGAATGCTCAAGTCGTTGTATTCCTTGCGATGCATAATTCGAGCTGACACCCCCGACTAAAACCCTCCTCAACAGCTCCAGGCGGAGCCCAACCTCTTGTTGACGCACGCTTCAACACCTTCGGTATAAATACTCGAATATTCGGTACGTGAGAATATATCCCTTGGATGTATTTAATCCTCCCTCGATAGATCCTTACGAAACAACGAAAATTCCCGCAAAATTATTAACAAAAATTCATTTTGAATCATCGTCTATCTGATAGAAAAAGAAAAAGAAGAAGAAGAAGACTGATCCATTAAAAATAAACAAGTAGTTATTTAAACCACAAAAATGTATATAAAAAAAGAAGGAAAAGATATACAATCATTCAATATCAATCGTTCAATTCTGGTTATTCTAAGAGGATTGAAGGTTCGACGTATTTGTAACATATTTTCTTTTTTTTTTTTCAGTCGCCACGCCCAATTTAACCAAGAGAAGAAAGAAAACAAGAGAGGAGAGAGGAGGAGAAGGCGACGTGTTTGAAAATAATAAAATAATGGAGGCGCACACGGTTTTTCACGGCGACCAAGAAGCCAGGAATCGAACGGAGAAAGAGAGGTTTGCCTTGCGTTCCGGCCAGACAATGGTTTAACAATGGCCCATACACCACGTCCTATTGTGCCGGTGTACCCCATAAAATACTCATCGCCTTTTATCGTTGTTTTCCTATCCGGCCAATAAGAGGAGCCCGCCTGCCAGGATCGCAAGCCCTGGCCAACTAATAACGGCTTAACCTCCAACGGAAACATTGAATGGGAATCGTTTTTTAAGCTGCTCCACCTCCTTCGAATTACACCCTTCGCGAATCCTATCCCTCCCCCTCTCTCTCTCTCTCTTTATCTCTTTCCCTTTCGACTCACCCTCTCCTTCTTCGTTTCACGAGACCGTTCAAATCGAGAAGATTAAATCTCGAAACCCTGTGGTCGAGGATGGATCCGAGAACAGTTCGCGTTCTGTTGTTACAGTTGTGCTATTTTTTTTTTCCTTCCTCCCCCTTTTTCTCCCTCTCCTCTCTCGCTCTCTCTCTCTTTCTCTCTCTTCTTCCCTTTAATGCCCGGGCTTAAAGATCCTCCCTTGGTTTCTACTACCCCAAACTCGATCCACCCCGCGACCTAGGTACAACATATCGGTGGTTATTCTTTGGGATTAGGGCGTTTGATGCATTATTAAGTAGACACCGATGCAGGTTCCCCGAATGGGAGGGAAACGAAACGATTTACGAGGAGGAGAGAAACGATGTTTTCCTTGGCGTATAGTTAGCGGGCCTCTGACGTTCCATGCCGGCTTATTACGTCTGATGTGCTAACTCGATCGAGAGTTTTCGACAGCTAGTCCCGTTCCCCGGCCCAATTTAAAAAAAACGGACTTCCCCTTCCGTATATTCGTGTAAAATTCATGTTTCTCAACGAGAGAAAAGTGAGATAGAAGGATACGATGCTATTTATAAAAATTAGTCAACGTCATTTGAAAATGACATCCACGATATAATGTCGTGTCTCCTAGCAGCGCAGCGTCATTTCGAAAGTGGGGTCGAAAAAAAGAGAAAATGGATAAGAACGGAAAATAATAAAAACGAGGTACGCGAGGTACACGCATTTCGCCATCCATCTACACGAGTCTCCGGTCATGTCACGCTCGATATCGAAAAATATCAATAATAGC